TCAATGAACTAAAACTCCACACTTAAACAGCCATAGCACATTTGTATCTTGAATATAGGTTTTAAAGCTATAGGTTAACTGTTACGTTTGAAGTCTTCACTTCCCCTTTGCAAAGTCTCTTTGCAGTCTCATTGTCATTGGTTCCGGCACAAGTGGGATTAAGCAATCCCAGATTCGAAGGGGTTGCCTGGAGGTACCGGATTTTTATTTGGCTTGTAAGAGTTCCGTGGGGCTAATCTGTGTTCTTCCTTCCAAGGTGGATCGAATGTCTTTCCCATGTGGCTGCACTAAAGAAGGATGTAGTAACACAGCAGGTAGAATTGAATTTAATCCTATCCGTGTCCGGACTCACTTTTTGCACACAATAATGAAACTTGAACTGGAGAAAAACCGAGAGCAGCAAATCCCCGCGCTGAACGGCTGCCACAGTGAGATAAGCGCTCCCAGTAGCTCCATGGGCCCCGTCGCGCACTCCGTAGAGTATTCCATCGCGGACAACTTTGAGATTGAAACCGAGCCCCAGGCCGCAGTGCTGCACCTGCAGTCGGCCGAGGAGCTAGACTGCCAGGGAGAGGAGGAGGAGGAGGAGGAGGACGGCAGCAGCTTCTGCAGCGGCGTCACCGACTCCAGCACACAGAGCTTGGCCCCCAGCGAGTCAGACGAGGAGGAGGAGGAGGAGGAGGAGGAGGAAGAGGAGGAGGAGGACGACGACGACGACGATGACGACGAGAAAGGGGACAGCTTCGTGGAAGGCTTGGGGACCCATGCGGAAGTCGTGCCTCTTCCTTCCGTCCTCTGCTATTCCGACGGCACGGCGGTTCACGAGAGCCACGCGAAAAACGCTTCTTTTTATGCCAACTCGTCGACCCTGTATTACCAAATAGACAGCCACATTCCAGGAACTCCTAACCAGATCTCCGACAGCTATGCCGAAAGAGATCCTGTTAAGAACGGTACCCTGTCGCTGGTGCCTTACACCATGACCCCGGAGCAATTTGTGGACTATGCCCGGCAAGCGGAAGAGGCCTACGGCCCCTCCCACTACCCCGCCACCAACCCCTCGGTCATCGTGTGCTGCTCCTCTGCGGAGAGTGACGGCGGCGTGCCCTGCAGTAGCTTGTATCCCGAGCACAGGTCCAGTCATCCCCAGGTGGAATTTCACTCGTACTTGAAAGGCCCCTCCCAGGAAGGGTTTGTCTCTACACTGAATGGTGACAGTCACATTGCCGAGCACCCCGCTGAAAGTTCTTTGAGCCTGGCGGAGAAAAGCAGATTGCACGAAGAGTGCATCAAATCACCCGTGGTGGAGACCGTCCCTGTTTAGTAGCGTAAATTATTCTAGGACCAACTCTTCTCTTATTTAAAAGCGCTGTATTTAATTGGATTTCCTGGGCCCATGGTTGTTTAAACTGAGGACCAAGAAAACCTGGACTGTGGTGAATCTTCCAGACTGTATTTTGTTTTCTCCTTTCCGGCCACACGCCTGTGGCATTGCACAAATACAGTCTCTATGAGGATTTTAAAAGATTTCAGACTGTTTTGATAGAAAATGCTAATTAAAAAAAAAAAAAAAAAGCATATCTCACAGTTGCCTACCTGTCAAACTGTGTGAAACCTGCCAAGCTGTGTAGATCAGAGCTTCAAGTTCTGGATTATCGGGCCTGTGCAAGATTGTTGACTAAGACTGGGAAATAATAAGATTTAGAGTCCTAATTTTCGATAAATCTGAAGATGACGGTGACTTTTTAATGTAAAAGTAATTACTGTAAGAAAAAGAGTTAATCGTTCCATGTGTATTTTATTTATGGTAGTTAGGAGTCATGTTTTGATGAAACTGAACAGCAGCATGTTCTTTTAAGCTGAAGATGCATAGTTAGCACCACTGAGCATGCCCACATGGATTGCATCTGGAATCCATTCACGTTTTTATGATCATGACTGATCAGATTTGCAAATACTTTCTTAAGGGTGAAATAGGCCTATTTTTGCTATTTTGGACAAATAAATGAGTCTATATGTGCAGGTCCTTACACAGTTTTCTCTAAAGTTAAGAGTTAGGACAATCCTCTGGTGAGGGTCTAGTTCACTGCCCTCCCTCAGTTGACTCCAGAGATGGAGGTAGAAGGAATTGCCTTTCTTTTTAAAACAGCATCATCTTGGTTCTTAGCTTGGACACAGCACCTTTAAACTCTACTCCCCTACATCAAAATGCACTTTAGTGCCCCTTCATGGTACCTTGTGAGGGGTGGGGACTGAGAACTCTTTGAGATGAAAAATTTAGAAAAAAAATTTTTTAATCTGTAACTATTATAAGGTTCATAGAATTAATATAGAGGAATCATCCAATGATAACTTTATGAAGGGAAAATGACCTATTTTCCTTCGCCACTCTGAAGACCTAACTCGGTAAAAGCAGAGGAGGCAGAGGAAACATGGAAGAGACGCATCCTCAGCAACCAGCCTTTTCTACAGCGTGATCAATCCATCTCTACAAAATGAGTATGTAAGGAGATTTCCTTTTAGTGACTAGCCGATTGAAGGGGGGGCCTCGACCCAAATACTCAACTAGGCCTTACTTTTCTGAAGCATTTTGATTTCTCTTGCCTGGGACAATTAGCAGAACAGTCCAGAATGCATTGAATACTTCCTAATTACCTCACGTTCTCTTATTAAAGGGGACAGATAGAAATAAAACATGCACTCCCCACCTTTAGGTTATCTGCACTTGGTTCGTCGGAGGACTTCTAAGATCCCGTTTTCCTGTACATTAATTTAGGTAACTAACTAGTGTGTTCTACCTTTTTTTTTCCCAATGCAATATGACTGTGCTAAATCCGTTTCATATTTTTGACCTTCTGTTGTTACACCGTTTCACATTTTCTGCCTCTTTGAAATGTGGACATGCCTTGCTATTCAGTGACTGCATCGCTAATTCTTATGTCTTTTAGATTTAGATGTTTAGAAATAGGGATATAAATATATTGTAGATCTCAATTCCTTAAAAATTACTATTTTATTTAATTGAACTTAAAAATGTTTGATCTAGAGAAAGTCCTCCAATGGAAAAGTTTCTACTAAAACTTGATTTGGGGAAAACATGTTTACTTGGTAGCTCTTCCAATGTGCAGTTGGCTCCTGCCCTTTTTCTCCCCCACCACAGGGCCAAATTTATAACCGTTCATACTAACATTAAAGGAACTTTGGGTTTGTCCCTACGAAAGTAGCAGTAATGAGGGCAGGGATGTTCCTTTTGAATGATAAGCCCTTTGGGCTAATCAGTTTGAGTTTAGCTCCGATCTCGGTAGTGTATCTCATGTTGTCTACAAAGTTACACTTTTTAGTGCTTGATTTCCAAAATTGTTTCCTTTACCAATACAATCTAAAGAGCACCGGCCCAAAGAAAAATGACAAAAGGCTATTGTTCTTCATGTAGGCATGTGAAAAAAAAAAAATCACACGTGCTGTATTTGCTGGACCCTACAAGCCCTCGAAGGATTTACCCGTGAAGCAGTCAGCTTCTTGGAACACAGACTGTGGCAGAATGGGGAAAAAGTGACTCTGGGTGGGGCAAAGGTGAAGGGTAGAATGTCAATCCAGTTTCTGAAAGGATAGATATTTAATTTAGTCCAGCTTTATATTCACTGGAAGGTCGACGCCTACTTGCTTATGTTTGGCTAGGTCTCTGTTTTGTAGCTACATTTCCAAAAGGATGCTTAACCTTGAAACAGACAAATAAAAAAATCAGAGCTCTCTCCCTATTTTTTCCAATTGGGGTTGAAAGTCACTGGGCACAGAAGGATTAACCTTCCAAGCATGAATTCCATTCCAGATTCACATATATGTATAACCTAACCCCTAAACATCTCCCACAAACTACATACACAAATTACCTATTAAAACACTCCCTTATAACACAAATGCACATGCACATACACACACTCACACAAACACACACTAGATGTATATCACACACTGGAGAATGAGAGATTTTAGGCAATGGCCAGTAATGAATACTGTATGTTTTTCCCACCCTAGAATCTGATTGGGTTTTATGATCTAAAAATAAGGTCTAGAAAAAAGGATGATTTGTAAAGCTATAGTTTGAAAATGTTGGGTCAAAGTTGCGTATAATACTAATGATGGAATCGTTTCATTGTTACTTCCTTTCCCAGAAAAGCTGAGAGAGCACAGTGTTCCATCTGACTTTTTTTTTCCATTAATAGCCCTTCTATTCAACAAAAACTGCCCACATGCCAGGAGAGCGCTGCCGTTTTTTCTAAGCTTTTTAAAATGGGGATCAAGCTAGATGCAGCCAGTTGGGATACTTAAGATCTTTATACGAAGACACAATGACACCTGACCTTCAGCTGTTGTATTTCCCCCGTAGTATATCTAACCAAATTATTGTCTTTTTTTTTTTTTTTTTTTTTTTTTTTTTTGACACACAGCTTTTTAGTGGTTCCCTGCCAATGGCAAAGCTTCGTGCTTTGGTCCTGTTGTTTTAGCATCAGCCCTATACTTTTTATTAGGGCTTAAATCCCAGTTATAATCCTGGCCAGATTGATGTGCAAATCAAGTGGCTGGAGCAGCTTGCATTTCCTTTGTCATCCTAGGTTTCCTTTGGGAGAAAGAATCACTGAAAGAGATTAACCTAAATTCCCCACCCCCCATCCCTTAGTCCTTGATTATTAAGACATAAGTAAAATTTGTTCGTGTCTTTTGTTAGTTGGGTAATAATAGATACTTTTCAAAAATTAGTCTTTTCTTTGTGATAAAACTATATTTTCCCAGTGCTCCAGCCACATATGAAATGTGAAATTAATATTTATTAGAGTCATAAGATCTTCACAAACATATATGGCCCAGCAATAACCCTTCCCCCCCCAAAAAAAAACTAGGAGTTATAGAAACATTGGCCACAAAACAATCAAGAAGCAAAGAGATGATAAGTGGTTCTTTTATATTTTTGCACTCTAACAGGTGGCTTGTAGGCAAAATTCTGGTTGGGTTATCATTAAACAGGAAAATACATCATGATTTATTCCCTATAAGTTTGATACATCATTGGCTCTTTGATTAAACTTCTGATATTGCACAAATTTATGATCCTTTGGTCTTAATACTTAGAATTTACTAAGTATCAACTCTGTCTTTCAACAAATATTTATAGAATGCTGACTGTTAGAAGAAGTGTTCTAAGTGGTAAAAAGAGGTAAAACACTCCACATTCTAAGAGATCATGATGACGAAGAGGAGTGGCATGAAATAATCAAGCCTCACTGTAATTCTTTTAATGTGTGCTTTTATAATGTGATCTTAGAAAAAGTGAAATCAATTCTTGTCTCATTGTGTGCAAACTGTAACTAAAAGGATACTTCTTTTTCCTAAATTAATGCAACTCACTGGATGATCTTTTTTCCTCTTCCCCTATCTGAAATTTCTGAATTAAATAGACTCAGCTAGAAGAACTGAATCGAATGAAAAAGAGATTTTCAGCTAATTGCTTCTTCAGTGTTAGGTCTCTATAAGTGAGGCTAAATTTATACTAGCAAACTCCTACCAGATAGTTTCAAGAGCTGGTTGACTCATACATAAACCAGGAAACATTTCAGGAAAACTTTGAGACAATGATGTGGAACACAATCACTTTTACTTCTATTTATATACAGCTTAAAAAATTAGCAAAACCATAGTTCCAAATTCCAAAGGCATTGCCTTATATAGCCTGTAGAAAAGAGAGGTCATTCAACCCACCTCACTTGTAGCTGGGGTTACAAAACCATCGCCAGCAGGTGGAAAGTGGACATTCTCAGAAGTCAGAGACTACTTTTCAAAAAGGTACCATGAAGCCGTCCATTTCTCCAAATATGACTAAAAACGACATCTGTTCCTTATTCTCTCACAGAAGAGTCATTACTGTAGTCAGTGTATAAAATACCAACCTTGAGTGGGAAGTACCTTCTTGCTTTCAAAGGCAAGACTTGACTGTAATTTGAAACCAGAACTATGTATTCTTACCACAACCAACATGGAAAGTTTAAAGCCTTAATCACTCTTAGTTCTAACACAAATTTGCAACTTCTGATTACATTATTCTTTCTGAGATCTGCTAACTTGTGCTCAAGTAACTCATATGCCTAAGCCAAATACCACAGCTTTGCACAAATACCACTGCTCACCAGATGTTTTCTGTACCATTAAAGAATTTAATTGACTTAATTTAACTGAATATCAGCAATTTAAAAGCCCACTAAAATTATGAAAGTGTCAGGGCGGGATGAGAATGGAATATAAGCATAATAAATAAGTGGTAGTGTCTCCCAG